CAAACTACCCTTCTCGACGTGGACCTTGCCAAGATGACAAGCTTAAGCTTGCAGATCTACTTTTCTTCTGTTGAGGGCATCAATCAGACTATCCATAAGGAGCGACCACAGAAGGGAAAATAATACCCCACCTTGAGGGCAGTCCCTGGTGACCCTGAACCTAATGGCCTCGCCTTGAATAGTCAAGGTTACAGTTCTATTTACCAGCACGGCATAGATCCAGCCAGTTATGGTCGATTCTATACCCTTCCTAGCCAGAGACAATCCTATAGATTCAGGTAGTGCATTGTCAACTATCAATGTCGATATCAAGAAATACAGCAACCGCAATCTCTTTGTTGTCAAGCAATTGGGAGATTTTGTGTTGTGTTGTTGTGTGAGAATATGTAAAATGATTTACAGTTCGTTTTGAAGAAGAGCTGGAAATATACCATCCTCTCCAGGAGATTTGGGCTGAAACGACTTGATAGCCCATTCAACTGCCAGTACTGTGACAACCTTCTTTGCGACCTCCCAATTTCCAGGAACGTGGTTTTATATCAAAAACTCTGACGTTTCCCTACTAGAGGTCGTGAATGTTCCATCGGGTCGTTTAAGCGACCCAATTTCAGCAGTCGGTTCTCTAGAGAGAATCTTGTGAATCCTTGTGCTGCGAGTTGAATCAGAGGTACCCTTCAAGAACTTCTTCCAAGACTCCCTTTTTGCCTTTCTAATTTCCTTGTTGTATGTCGTTAGAATAGTTTTATAAAGCTCCCAGTTACCTGACTCTTTAGCTCAATTGAATAATCGTCGAACTTTCTCCAAAGACTCCATTAATCAAAACACCAACCTTAACAGAGTGCTCTGGGAAGTTTGAAAAGTAAATTTCGATACTTTGTTCGTTTTTCCTCCTCTTTCAGACGATATTCGTCTCACCAGGAACTGAGAAGTCCACGACAAATATCGCCTTGCTCTGATGATCGGGAAGACCTACATTAGACTAACTAGCTTGTATGTATTATATGCCTTAAAAGTACCGCAGGTGGTAATAAAGCACTCTTAGGGCCGCGTTATGTCGATTGATATAGGCTGATGAATGCTGATAATTGATAAATGCTGGACATTCTGGCAGCACGTGCAGCAGGTACCTTGCCGCAGGCCCTTCACCTTGTGGCAGGAACCTCTACCCTTCACACCATCATATTATTATAACTATTATTATTATAACCAGTGGTATAAAAACATGTAGAATAAAATAGCTGTAAATCTATACATCTTCAAATATTCGAAATGTTTCAATAAACATTCTTTGAAATATAACTTTCTTTTGCCTAATTTTTTCGAATTTTTGACTTTCATTTTTGATATCGGCCTATCAAGTACAGCTTGGCAAATCTAAGTGTGCTTCTAAGTATGGGATGCGCAGTAAATCAGCCAACGGAGTGGGGCGAGAAAACATCAACATCGAAGAACTCGTGTAGCAACATCATACACCATCATATTATTATAACAATTTATTTGAACATATTGTATACAGCAGATTACATCAGTTTGTTGAAAAGTATATCAGGGTGGAGCAAAACGGTTTTGTAACAAATAAATCTATTGAGTCAAACTTGTTAACTTACACTCAAAAAGCATATGAGGCACTTGAAAACAAATCTCAATTGAATACTATTTATACAGACTTCCAAAAAGCTTTCGATAAAGTAGATCATGATATTTTATTGTTGAAGTTGAGTCATTATGGTTTAACTAAAAATATTTTCAAATTGTTTCGAAAGCTATTTGTAAAACAGAGATTCTCTTGTAAAATATCATGGCTCATACTCAAGAAAATTTGAAGTTACCTCTGGAGACCCACAGGGATCAAATTCAGGTCCCTTATTTTTTGTTGTTTTTATAAATGATTTGCCAGCAGTGCTGGAATTCTCAGAATGCCTAATGTTTGCTGATGACCAAAAAATCTATAAACAAGTACAAACAGTGAGGGATTGTGTAATGCTACAAAAAGACCTGAACAAGGTTTATGAGTGGAGTTGTGAAAATAAATTATTTTTCAATATTGATAAATGTTCAGTAATGTCAGTTACGCGCAAAAGAGACCTTATTCTCTTCAGTTATGAACTGAATAGGGTCCCTCTTGAAAGAAATACAGAAATAAAAGACTTAGGGATTAGATATAATAATACATTATCATTCAAGAATCACGTAAGAAATATTACAAGAAATGCAAATAAAATGTTAGGGTTTATTATCAGGCAAACTAGAAATTTCAGCACTATACATTCGATCAAACTACTCTACTACACATTGGTTAGAAGTAAATTGGAATTTGGATCAAATACACACATCGGAAAAGTCTAGGGATATTTTAAAAAATGGCAATATTTTTTTTAGATCGCTTTAGGGAAAAAAAAGGTGACGGGTGATTATTAAACGAATGTAACTTACAACAAAATTTATTAAATGGTCAAAAATACTGAGTGCGCATATAAGCAAAACTAAAAAAAAAGGCTCTTCTTTGGCACCCCGAAAAAAATCATAATACAAAAAAAATTGGAATCAGTACAAAGTATGGCCTCCACGCTGGTTTATTACGGCCCTACATCTATCGTGCATCGACAAAATGAGATTGTCAATGTCTTGTTGAGGTACATTTGCCCATTCAGCGATTAAAAGCTCTCTCAATTGAAACGTTGTGTGAATGTTCCCCATATGCGGAGTAATTCTTCGTTGAAGCATGTCCCACACATGCTCGATGGGATTCAGGTCCGGTGATTGTGCTGGCCATGGCAATACATC